TAGCTGAGAAGAATGAGACACATGGTGTGAACAGATTGCAACAGGTCAGCTCAAATATATCCACTCCTTGCTGATCACGTGTCCCTTCTAATGTAAAAAGGATACTGCCTTGATCTAACAAAACCAACAAATTCCATCTCCATATGTCTCTCAGTGTGCATCAACCCAAAGAACTATATGTGCAAGAAAAGGAAATGTTTTTTTTATTATTATTATTATTCAGTTTGAAGTCAGCACAATTTGAAGGCATGCCTCATCAATATGGATTGTTGTTGTGGTTGATGGAAAAAAAAGAATGCAGTGGCTCTCCTCCTCACACATTGAGATGCATTGAATATTTTTTTCTCTCTTCAAAACACCCTCATCAAAATTTACTTGCGTTGTTCTGAAAGTGCAGGTGGAGGGCAGAATGAATCTGAATCTGATCCAAGTGCWGTAAATGAGTCTGCATGCAGCTGTCTGCACAGAGACACGAACCTCTAACAGCACAACTTCATGTTGAAACTCGGCTCATAATGCAATCATCAAGATAATTGTTCTAGTTCCGTGGTGTTAATTCACAGTGTTCGTAATCACATTAACTTCATGTGGGTATCAATATAATTACAAATCTAATCACTTTTTTTCAATCAGCCAGTTAGACCTTCCTTTGAACTAACTCTGCAAATGAGCCTCAGATAGCACAGTAAATTATAATGAGATGGTTTGAGAAAGTGAAACAATACTGCTGTTACGACAATCACAAAAAAACATGGAGAAAGAGCTATASAAATTACTTTATTAAGATTTTCTCTTTTCCTAGAAGCTCGCCCGGTCAAACTGAGACTAAGACTTTCAAAATTATTAATTAATACATAAAAGTTGTGCTGACTATTTTTTGATAAACCCTGGTCAGGTTTTGTTTGTCTAGAGTCAGCAGGGCATCTATCAGGAAACGAGGAAGCACGCTGCTGTCTTGGATAAAAAATAATAAATAAATAAATAAATAAATAAATAAATAAATAAATAAAGGGAACAGTGATGTACTCTGCTGTAGTTCAGGGAGGTGTAACAAGAAGAGTGGCAGAGGACTGCTGGTCACTGATTAGAAGCCAAGCGGAGCCAAGCAGATAACAGAGAATGGACATCATAATCAGCTGCCTCAGAGAAAGACAGAGAAAATGGAATTCAGTCCAAACACACAAAATGAAGAAGAAACAATGTCAGATTGGCTTTGTGTACAATCACTTTGGCCACAAAAAAAAAATAAAAAATAAAATAAAAAAAAACATTTCAGAACTAGAATGTGTAGAGATAAGTCAGAGTCTGATAGATGTCCCTTCAACCACAAACCCTGTGTGTTTTTCCCCKCTTTCTCACTCTAATGGCTTTGCATGAATGAGGATTTCAGTCACTGAGGATCCCAATCTGAGTGCTGTTCACAGCGACCTCTCAACAGAAGTAAGTCAGATAAAAGTGTATTGMGAACTGCCTACAGGTACAAACTGACCAGCATAAAGGCAGCCTATGTTCAAAAACAGATAAATCAGCCTTGCTGCAAGTTACAGTTCTTTATTTATGAGATAAGTGGGCGATTGTATGTAACAGAGTGTGAGAAAGCCACAATGGTTTTGAACTTGCACAAAAGGTCCTTTGCAAGGTCATGATTGCTTATCATGTGGTGGAAGTGTGTCCATGACATGCACGCCCTCCAGCATGCTTGGTCTTCAAGTATTTAAAGCAGTACTGAACATGTTGGTTTCACACCTAAACTTTGATTGTGAAGAGAGYTATGATGTTCATAAATGATCCAAATCTTTTGAATGGCTCCTTACAAAACGTGATAGGAGCTGAGTAGCAGACAGTAAACTATTGTTTGTAGCATTATTTTTTTACTACTCATATGTCTTTATTTTTCTCCACCTTAACCACAGAGACAATTGCTCCGTCGTCGTTTTTTCACAAAAAAAAAAATCAATAAAAAAACAGGAAGTGGTTGGTGTACAGCAGCTCAGGGGGAAATCGGGAGGGATAGTTCCACTTGACAAAACACATTGTTAGTGTAAAGCGCTTTGGGGGTCCGGAGGGACTTGAAAAGCGCTCTATAAGTTCAGTACCATTTACCATTTACCATTGTTCCACCCATGTGATGTAATGATGTCATCACATTTACCGTAACTTGTTCAAAATCAAACAGCTTTTTTGAACAGCCCTATGAAACAAATGGTTCGTCAAGGTCCCAGATCCCTTCAAACAGTAATGTTTCCTATCTTTAATTGTGAATGAGACAAAGTCCTGCACCAGACTACCAGATGAGATACCTGTGGTGGTTGTYTCATGCTAGTGTGGTATGGTCTTTTAGACTTATCTACATTCTGACATTAGGGGTGCAACAATACATGTATATGTCTAGAACCGTTCAAAATAGTGTGTTAGGTTCAATGCACACTATGTWTCGAACAATACAGATTTTTAACGTTGATTTTATCAACTTGTCTTCTGAACATGTGCTGTGTTGAAGACTCAGTGGATCTGTTTGACTACTCCATCACTGTGGAGCACAGATCCATTGGGAAACTTGCTGTTTCAGCAACATTTAATTCAAAAARTGTACTTTTGAGGTTAAACAAATTTTCATAATAAATTCAGTAAATTACAAGTTAAGAAGGGCATGCAAATGTTTCTCTTTTGTATAAAAAATCAAATCTGTGAGAAAAATATCAAACCGAATCATGAACTTTCTGTATCATTGAACCTCTACCTGACTTGATCCAAGAAAGTTTCAGAGTTTGGTAAAGAT